TCGGTGCACATCAGCAGATGAAGGAATAAAGAAAATGTCTGTCTCTCTGTCTATCTATCTATCCTATCTGTGATGGAGTAATATTCAGCCATAAAGAAGATCATGTTAAATAAAATAAAGCCAGATTCAGAAAGATAAGTATGATACTTTTTCTCTCTTTTACAGAATCTAGATCCAAAAAGAACAGACATGAACAAAAAAGCGGTACTATCTGGGGGCCCCCAGGGGGTGTGGGAGGGGGAGAAGAGAGGGTGATGGGGGAATATAACCAAAGTATACTGTGTGTACATTTAAAATTTTCATAACAAAGCCCATTAAAATCATAAAACTAATAAAAAGGGAGAGGAGGATAAGAAAGAGTAATAATATGACATTATATTTGTGTATTGCAATTTTGCAATGAAACCCCTTATTTTGCACAACTGATGCACACTAATAAAAACACTGAAGTGCTGGGAGGTGTGTGTATGCAGGAAACCAGCATTTACATATTCTGCTGGTTTAGTATAATTTGAGAGAAATTTTTGGAGGAGAAGACAGGTACCAAAGACCTGAAAGGTATGTATGCCCTTTGATGTACAGTCTATTTCCAGGAAATTCTACAAAGAAAATAATTAAGGGTTTGAAAAAGACTTAGCAAATATGTTTATCCAAGCAGTACTCGTCACAAGGAGTTGGAAACAGTTGACATGTCAAAAGGCAGGGATCAATTAAGCTTCATGCAACCCCAACTTGACTATGTTTAGCCAACTGTATTTTGGAAGGATGTTTACTTTGGTAAGAATTAGAGCATGGCAATCTCAGCTTTGTTAAAAAAAAAAAAAAAGTCTGCACAGAGAAGATTGTGAAGACTGTTAACAATGGGTTCTTCTGATGGGTACACTGTGTTTCTTTTTCTTTTGCTTGCTATTATTTTCTGTTTCCTATATGGAATATACATTGCTGTCATAATTTTTAAAACCAAACTATTTTTTTTATTAAGAGAGAAAACTAGGGCTATTATAGCTGGGCTACAGGATACTGCTGAATAACAGTTCTCATTTGTGTCTTTGACATTGTCGTCCATCCGTCCTTCTGTGGAATACATCAGATATTGCTTAGCTCACTTGCTGTGCAATCTGGCAGAGAGAAGAGGGGAATCCTCCTGGTTTAACTGCTATGGTAACTGAAGACTTGACAAAAAAAAACCCTACAATTAATTTAGTCTAGCCCTTTTTATTTTACGAAATAAAGGAACCTGACAGAGGCCCAATGGAGGGAGGATTTACTTATGGTGGAAAAGTTAGTGGAACAACTACAATCTAGACTTCAGATTCCAAGCCCACTTATTCTCAAGAAACTCTCATCAGTGATCCTGGTTGCCAGGCTGGCTGGGAAGGGTATATAGCAGCTCTGCCACAGGAAAATCCAAGAGAACCCCTAACTTGGTTAAATAATCTTAGTTGCACCTGTAGAACCAGAATGAACTCCCAACTGTCAGAGGAAATAAGAAAAATGCAACAGGAGAACTGAGTGTCTCATCTTAATTCTTCTTGGAGAATACAGATTTGGAAACAAAAAAGTTTCTGTGATTAAGTCACTTATGCTGTAGGTTATTGTGTATGACAACTACTTGCAATATATACTTTTTTTTTTGGCTGTACTGGGGTTTGACCTCAGGGCCTCAAAGTTGCTAGACAGGCAACCACTTGAGTCACAACCCCCAGGCCTTTTTTGCTTTAATTATTTTTCAGATAAGGTCTTTTGCTTTTTGCCTAGGGCTGGCTTTAGAACTCAATCCTCTTACCTATGCTTCCCTCACAGCTAGGATTACAGATGTATACCACCGCACCTCTTGTTGATTGAGATGGTGTTTCACTAACTTTTTGCCCAGGCTGGTTTTGAAATGCCTCCTAAGTAGCTAGGATTACAGGTGTGAGCTACTGAGTCCAGCAATATATCTTTAAGTAACAAAATATTTGGTATATTTATGGTAGATCCCTAGCTCCTAACAAAGTAACAGTTGTATGGCTTTTTGTATATTTGTTTTCTTCCATGTATAAATAAAAAATATGGATAGGGAATATTAGCTGTTCTCACAATGTGATCTGCCAACCTTGAGGTTAGAGGTATGGGTAGGGGTCCCTGAGCCCCCCCCCTTCAAGGAGTCTGTGAGGTTAAAAATCTTTCATAATATGACTTTTTCCTTGTTGCAATTTGCACTGATAAAGAAAAGCAATGGAGGGTAAAACCGCTGTCCCCTAGCACAAATCAAAGCAGTGACACCACTGCATAAGTAGCTTTATTCTTTGTGGCCCCACTCTCACGTTAAAAAGAATGTCCTGATGCAATAGTAAAAATTATGAATTATATTAAATCTCCACCCTTTCAATGTATCTGTGGCTAAGTAAACACGAAGCACTTCTGCTGCATACAGGTACCATGGTTGTCCAGTGGATTTGACTATCCAAATCAAAAGCACTGTACAATTAAATGAATGGTAAGCTAAAATAGCTGCATATTCCATGGAACACCATTTAACATATTTTTGAAATTAATTTATTTTTGAGACAGTCTCACTATTTGCCCAGGCTGGCCTTAAACTCACAATCCTCCTGCCTTAGCCTCCCAAGTGCTGAGATTCCATACCTGGCTGGAACATTACTCTTGCTTGATCAAACCACTAACAGGTAAATCAGGGTTATTCCTATTTAAATATTTGGCAGAAATTCTGTCAAAAATGTAACAAAGTAAGACTGTCACTTCCAGGAAAACAAATGACAGTATGTGTTACTGATGATAAAATTCCAGCTAAATTGTGGAAAATCCTGTCTGCCACAGTAAGCATGACAGTTGAAGACTTTTCTAATGAGACAGATGAGGACATCAAGGAATGTTACTGTTTGATATTATATATTACAATATGTCAATGCTGGGAAGATCCATGTTATACAGTAAACCACCAATTTCCAAATGTCATATGTTTGATTAAATAAAATCATGCATGCATATAAGATCCATTCAAAAAAATGTAAAATACACCAATGAGTTTTAATGTAACAGAGTAAGAAAAGCATACTGATACTCTTTAATAAAGATCCACTTTGCAACTAAACTCTTAAAAACTACCATTTGTCAAACATTAGTGTGTTATCAAATAACATCCCTAAGGGTCTGGCAGAGTGGCTCAAGTAGTAAAGCGTCTGCCTAGAAAGTGTGAGACCCTGAGTTCAAACTGAGAACCACCAAAAAAAAAAAAAAATCCATGATTATCTAAAAAAAAAAATTATTTTAATAGTTTAAAAGTATTTTAATAGTTTAAGTATATGAGTGTGAGGTAAGATTTTCTTAATCTTCTTAAACCAAAATATTGCAACAGATTAAAAGCAGAAGCAGGTGTTTGACTCCAACACATTAGTCTTGCAAAAATGTAAAATAATGGCACTATTAGAATAACTATTATCAACAGCCAGAAAATAAGTTTTGTTGAAAAGGTGAAGAACTTGGAATCCTTGTGCATTGCTGGTGTGAATGTAAAGTGGCCCAACCACTATAGAAAATAGCATGGTGCTTCCTCAAAATATTAAACATACTCTTACCTTATAGGCTAGTAAATTCCATGCCCAGAAGGAACTCCCAAAGAACTGAAAGCAGGGACCCAAACAGATATTTGCACAAAAATCATAGCAACATACTCACAAGAGCCAAAATGCATATGCAAACCAAGTGTCCACTGACAGATGACTGGATAAACAAATATTTATGCATGTAATGCTTTATTTTAAAAAGCTAATTATATATTTAAAAAACGGTCCACTTTTAATTTCTTGTAAGTGTGGCCAAATGGAATCCATATAAATGTAAGTAAGCTCTTAGGTCCTGAGCAATTTTTGACAGGTAAAGGGGTTTGAGACGGAAAAAGTTTGAGAAACAGCTGTCTGATATTAAGATTTATTCTCTCTTCTTATATCTTTATTACGGGAAGACCTTCATTTGTATAGCTTCATTTGACAGTTAAACACTTCCAGCCTGGAGACTAGCCTAAAATATGGTCACACCCATCACATTAACACTTCATAATTACTACTGTCCCCTGTATGAACAATAACCACAAAGACCGAGGAACACAAAGCAATGGCAATGTACAACAGAACACTGTAAAAACCTTAAATGCTGATACTCCAAAGTAGTTTCGTACACATAGGTTAAAAAAAAAAAACCCACACATTTCTTTTTTCTGTTCAACATTCATTTGGGTTTATAGTTTGGGGCAGGTTCAGGAACTGGGGTGGTGGCGGTACTGTTTCTGAAAACCAGAGCGTCCGTGCAAAGAATTTAATTCTCTCACCATCTTGCTACTGGTCTGTTGCAGAGGGGTGTGGCCAGGGAGCTAGGAAGCATTCAGAACAGGAGCCACGGCTGCCCAAAACCCTGTCCAAGCAAGAATTCTGGGCCATTCATTTGCTCCGGCAAGAAGCAGAATGGTTTATGGGGAGGAAGAAAATAAAAAGGAAGTTGGAAAGCATGAACGGAAACAAAGTAGCAAAACCTAAGCGGCTTCGTGCGCGCGTATTAAACGGCTGGCCCTTTGATAATGTGCACCAGCAGCAAAAGAGAATTTATTCCTGAGTCCACAGCTCTAATTAGAGCCGCACTCTAATGCCAGCTCTGCAGTTCTGGGTGGGGGCGAGACGAAAGGGATTTTCGTATCCGGCCCATCTTTCTAAAATCATTCATTTCGGGCTGGGTTTATTCCCAGTCTCTGACTGCGACTCTGACTGACTATGACTTCCCAAACAAAGGGGGAAATGGATGCCCTCCCGAGGCAACCGAGGAGGGAAAGGTAGCCCCAGGTTATGGCGCCAGGTGTCCCTAGGGAGGGTGATCCCTGCAGATTGCGGGGAGCGACAGTCCCAGGAGCTGGGCAAGGGTGCGCAAGGCTGCGCCAGGACACCTGGCGTCACCGAGGCAGAAGACCCCGCCTTGTCCACGGTCAAGGTTAACCCGCGCACGGGAGGTACCTGTGGAAGCCTCGCACGGCTGAAAGGCACCGGGTGATCATGGGCAAGCCGAGAGGCCGGCAGCGGCGGGCGCGTGGTCCTTCGGTTTAGGGGTGCGGGAGAAGGGTGGTGGAATCCGGGCGCCGGGGAGCCGAGAGGAGGAGGCCACAGCAGCGGCGACAGCGACGGCGTCCAGCCCTGCCAGCGCCCTCCCACGTGCCGCGGCCCCACGCCGGCGCCCACTGCGGCCCCGCCCCTCTCCCGCCCCACGCACAAACCACGCCCACCCCTGTTTCCGTCCCGCCCCAGACCACGCCCTCACCCTTGGCTCAGACCACGCCTTCGCCTCCGCCCCTCTTAGGCCACGCCCCAGGGGCGGATCCGACGAGACCCCAGCCGCCCGAGCCCAGCGAGCAGCCGAGTGGGCCGAGGGGGCGGCGGCGACGGCGGGAGAGCTGAGGAGTTTGGGCGACAACCGTCAGGGCTGCCATCTTCAGCCGGGCTCCAGCCTCGAGGACCAGGAGCTGGGCTGAGCGGCCGACGCACGCTCGCGGGCCCATAGCCGTCGTCTGGCGTCCCCTAGCTTGGTAAGGGGCTGCTGTCTGGACAAGGTGCGTCTCCCGCAGCCCCAGCCCGAGGCCTGCACCGCGCACCCACTGCAAACCCCGCGTGGGCTGAGGCTAGGCCTCGGTACCCGAGGGACGGGGGAGGGAGGCCTGGAGGGGGAGGTGGATGTGCTCCCAGCAGGGAGCAGGAGAAGCTGGAAGAGGTTGGGATGTCTCCCCTTTCCCCTCCGCAAACCCTGAACCCCATTTTGTTTTCACCTTCTGCTCTCGGGCCTTGTTTAGTATTTGTGATAACCCCATAGCCTAGAGGTTCCGCTCGCTTTTAAAGAAAGTACACGACTAATAACATCCTAGCGGCGGTACCACACCCTGGCTTTGAATTAGGGAACCTGGGGAGCAGATGGATGATGCGATTTAGTGGAAATAAGCCGCTGGCCCTCCGCCACCGTTTGGATGCGATAGTATTCCATGTGAATGGACATGACCATAAGCTTCTAGCTTGTCCACGAGAGCACAGCTCCGCGGAGAGCTCAGGTCGGCTTGTAGTATCCATAGGTTTAGTGAGTGATTTTTGACAGGTCTGTTGGTTAGCTAGAAATGTCATTTATCCATAAAAAAGACTTAATGGTTGAACAACCTTTCTAGAGTTTATTTCGGTAGCAAATAACTTTCAGTAGGTGAAGTGTAAATTTATAAATATACTTAAAATTTTATCTTGAAACAGAGGCAGATGCTTATTGGGATTACCTTCTGAGTCAGCAGTATGAAATCCCCCTTAACTTAGTACGAAGGCCTTTTTATGGGGAGGGGTTCTATATCTATATCTGTACTTCTACCCTTTTCTGTATAAGATACAGTGAAAAATTAAGCTTATGTTATACATGTTTTGAAAAATATTACTGATGCAAGGTTTAACATAGTCTAATACTACTGGTTTTAGATTAAGATATAAAATAAATGTCTGTAGCAATGCGTTGTGCTGTTCTGACTTTCAAAAGAGAAAAGATCAAGGTAATGCAAGTTTTTTTGTTTTTTACTTTTATAACTTTCCTGGCTGATTCTTTAAAATAACTGAGCTCAGTGTTTTCATTTTTTCTTATCAAGGAAGTGTTTAAGTTTCTAAAATGTCATCTATCAAGCACCTAGTTTATGCAATTATTCGTTTCTTACGGGAACAAAGTCAGATGGATGCTTATACTTCTGATGAGCAAGAAAGTTTGGAAGGTAGGCACCTGTTCTGTGTGTTCATTTGTGTTATATGTATGTATATATAAAGACCAAAATAGCTACAAGCTATTTTGAGTTTATGATCCATTATAACAAAATCACAATGTTTTGTTGATCTTCCAAGGGAAGAGGCTTAACTATATATCTTATTTCCATTCTCTGAAGCTTGTTTTAATTAACAACAAAATAAGAGGACTATTGCTCATTTATTGAACAATTACTATGTTGACAGTATGTCACTCCTGGGGAATTTTTTTCTTCACAGCAAGTAAGTTAGATTATTCCCATTTAGCAGATGAGAAAATGAAACCAGCTGATGTAAATATAGCTAATCTGTGACAAAGCTGAGATATAAATCTTAGTTCTGAAAATTTTGTTTTCTTTTTGTAAACTGACAAAAGATTCATTTAGAAATAACACATGAAAATACCTTAGTCATTGTACTATGTAAAAATCTAAGTAATTATACCATTGGTGAGCTCTGACAAGTGCCTGTTTTGGGACTTGAAATGAGATTTCTTCCTTATTTTATGTGAGTTTTAAATATTGGATTCTGTAATCTCAAGTTGAGCAGGAGTTGGATGACTGCATCATGCGTTTCCTTGATACCATCTTTGTGCTTCATGTTTATTCATTATAAAATTTAAATTCAGTATAACCATACCAAGTGAGAATTCTGCAGATGGGCTGCTGGAAGATCAGTGAAGCTAGCATTGTTGTGGTCTAAAGACTTAATGATTGCATTGAGAGTACATTTTGGGAGAGTACATTTGAGTTTGAATTTCCTATCTTGAAGCTGCTGCTCTTATAAACAGAACGCATCTATTAATTTTGAGTAATTTCCTTATAAATATTCTTTAAGGAGGTGAGGATGAGAGTTTGCACTAATTCTGCTTCCAGTCTGGTGAGATGAGCTTTTTTCAGGTGGCAGTGAGAGAGGAGCAGGTGACGCACAGTTGGAGAACATTCCAAATCAGTCCATCTCATATTAAGGTCTTTTTGTTCTCCTTGCCGGTCAGACTGTATGAAGATAAAGGTGGTTGGTTATCTAAGGAGAGTGTTGATTGTGACTGCTCTGTAGCAAACAGATAAATGCAATCATTTTGTAAAAGATGTTTCTTGTTGTTCTCATCAAAGGCAGTATAATGTTTTTAAGGACCATAGAGAAAATCGAGAGTATTTTAAAAAACCAAGATGTTATGTCCTATTTTTAGGATGGTATTCAGCCAAAAATATGTGCCCTCAGCTGTTTGTTATATATGGCAGTCAGATATGGTGCCAATTGTTTGTGACTGACCCCTATTTTTGACTCTCTGAGTCTAATTTAATTGAATATGAAATCATGTGGAGGTGTCTGCCCACCTTCAAGACATTTAAAAAAGCCCTAGGGAAGAAGTCTCTGTTCTCACACCAGCTTTGCCACTATTATAAAGCTGTGTATCATCAGCTTTGAGTCTTGTTATCAGAGTATGTTATCCACATTGGGTGGGGTGGCACATGCCTATAATCCCACTACTCAGGCGGCAGAGGGAGACAGAGATAGGTTCAAGACCAGCCCAAGAAAAGTTAGCTTGAGATCCTGTCTGAAAAGCAAACCAAAAAAGCAAAAGGACTTGGGACATGGCTCAAAGGTAGAGCACTTGCCTAGCAAGTGTAAGGCCCTCAGTTTTAATCTATGACATCTGCTTCATTTTTGACCGTATGGTCCCTGCTCACTGTTAGTGTCTCAAACCACTACTCCTCTCATAACTGTTAGCAATTGCAGTATACTCATAGATAATTCTTCCAATTTCCTTGGCTCTCAGTTCTTGACTTTTTCTCCTCCAGTGATCTCAACCAGTTGTTCCACCCTTGGTCTGTACTTCTGAACTTGAGGTGATTTTGCCAAGTCTGGAGATGTTTTGGTTGTAACTATCTGGGGGCTGGTATTACTGACAAGTAGTGGGTAGAGGTCATGGGTGATGCTAAACATGCTGCATGGAGCAGCCTGTGACCACAAGAAACTATCTGATATAAACTGTCAGAGGCTGAGATTGAGAAAGCCTTCCCTAGACTTTATCCTCCTATAATTGCTACCTGATGTATTTCACTTCTTGACCACTACTGCTTGTCTTTCTAGCTTGCTCCCCTCTACAGTCCATACCCAGCAAATCTCAGAACCCACTCATAGCTTCAATCTATTGATCTCTTACTTTTTCCTTTTTTCCACTCTTCTTCTTCTCCATCTTTTTTTTTTCTTTTTTTTTTTTGATGGGAGGATTTGGGAGTTTGAACTCAAGACCTCATGTTCTCATGTTTGCCAGGCAGGTGCTCTACCCTTTGAGCCATGCCTCTAGCTGTTTTGGCTTTCACTATTTTTTTTGGATAGGGTTTCACTTTTTGCTGGGGACCAGCCTTAATGGTGATCTTCCTATGTATGCCTCCTGCATAGCTTGAATTAAAGGTGCCTGCCACCATACCCAGTGTATTGTTGAGATGGTGGTCACACTAACTTTGGGCTGGATTTGAAATGCAATCCTCCTGATCTCTGCCTCCCAAGCAGCTGAGATTACAGGCATGCATCACCATGTCTGGCCCATCTTAAATTACGTGATTGATTATTATAATCATTCCCTTATATTTCCTTCCCTTTCTTTCTTGCAAAACCAGACCTTGCTTAAATCCAGCTCTCTACCTACTCTGTGTCCACATCCATGTGGCTATATATGATGGAACAAAATATACATCTATTTTTTTCCTGCTTTCCTTTCTTCTTCTTCTCCTTGCCCTCCTTCTTCTCCTTCTTCTTTTCTGGTGGTACTGGAATTTGAACTCAAGGCTTACGCACTTGTTAGGCAGACACTCTACTGCTGAGCCATACCTTCAGTCCCAAAATATACACATTTGCTTACTAGTCCTATTTGAATTCATGACTTTGAGCCTCTAGCAGACATTTAATGCTACTAGGGAATCACACTGTTTGTTCTACATCCATTCATACCTTTATTCTCCTAGGTGATCATTTTTATACTTTCTCATATCTCTCAGACCTCCACACTTCCTTCCTGACTTCACTATTAGTTATCTCCTTCTCCACCAAGAGAGTAGAAATAAGAAAGTAACTCCCACCAACCTTCACTGCCCATCTACCACCCACCCTGCATCAACACCCACATCCTCTGCCTTCCTAATACAGTACATGAACGATCTATGTTCCCTTCTCAATGGAACCCCTCTACTGTTACATGAGATCCCATCCCATCTCTCCTACTCCAAGTCATCACTCTAGTTATTCTACCTTAACCTCCTTTTGTCTATATCATCAGAGTTTCATTCTCTGCCAGATCATTTCCAGATCAGTTTCAGCAGAACATAAATTTTCAACAAGTCTTGCTATGTAGATTAGGCACTCATCCTCCTGCCTCAGCCTTCAAGTGCTGAGATTATAGGTGTGTTCTACCACACTTGGATTTATTTTTCCCTTCTTTTTAAAAATTTTTTTAATTTTAATTTTTTTTATTCATATATGCATACAGTGTTTGAGTCATTTCTCCCCCTTTCCCCCACCCCCACCCTTACCCCCACCACCCCCGCCGTTCCCCTCCCTCTCCTCCCTCTACCCCCTTGCTACCCAGCAGAAACTATTTTGCCCTTATCTCTAATTTTGTTGAAGAGAGAGAGAGTATCAGCAATAATAGGAAGGACCAAGGGTTTTTGCTAGTTGAGATAAGGAGAGCTATACAGGGAGTTGACTCGCATTGATTTCCTGTGCATGTGTGTTACCTTCTAAGTTAATTCTTCTCGAACTAACCTTTTCTCTAGTTCCTGGTCCCCTTCTCCTATTGGCCTCAGTCGCTTTAAAGTATCTGCATTAGTTTCTCTGCATTGAGGGCAACAAATGCTATCTAGTTTTTTGGGTGTCTTACCTATCCTCATACCTCCCTTGTGTGCTCTTGCTTTATCATGTGATCAAAGTCCAATCCCCTTGTTGTGTTTGCCCTTGATCTAATGTCCACGTATGAGGGAGAACATACAATTTTTGGTCTTTTGGGCCAGGCTAATCTCACTCAGAATGATGTTTTCCAGTTCCATCCATTTACTTGTGAATGATAACATTTCATTCTTCTTCATGACTGCATAAAATTCCATTGTGTATAAATACCACATTTATAAAAAAGCAAAACCAACAAATAATCTTGCCAAACTATGCCACCCCAAACTGCTGCCTAATTTTTTGGCTTCCTCGGCAGCAAAACTATTTGAAAGAGTTGTGTATACCTGCATTCTCAAATTTTCTTTTCTTCTTAAAACCATTCCTATTAGGCCTCTGCCTCTGTCTGTCCTCCATCCACACTGCTCTCATCAAAGTCATTAATGATTTCTGTGTTGTTTAGTTCAATGGTCAATTTTCAGTCTTTATCTGACTTACTGGTTGTCGTTAATAAGGCTGATGGTCATTCCTTCTTCTTCTACCCCCTATCCTTTTCCCAGCCCCCAGGGTACCTCCTAGTCTCTTGGTTGCCTTCTTATCTCATTGTTTGTTCTTTCTCTCCTTTGCTGATTGATGCCTCTTCTTTTCCCTGACCTGCTCTGCCATGGTCCACCGCTTCATTCCTTTCTCTGCATAATCTATAGTCATTATTATGCAGCTTGTTGGTCTTAAATAACCTGAGTTTGTGTGCTGACATTTCACAGATTTGTGTCCCTAGCCAAGACTGTTCTTCTGAACTCCAGATTTGTATATCCAACTGCCTGCAAGAAATCTCCACATGCATGTCTAATTGGCATCTCAAAGTCAGCATTGCCAAAACCAAATTCCTGGTCCTCTTAACTAAATTCTCCCACAACTTTCCTGTCTCAGCTATGGCAACTCCAGTTCTTCCTTTGCTTGGCCTAAAAACTTGCATTTCATTCTAGACATACTCTGCAACTAATTATTCAATAAATCCTGTTGTTTTACCTTCAAAATATATCTGGAGTCTAACCACCTCTTACCAACTCTACCGATAACACCCCTGGTTAGAACTAAGTATCTCCTGCCTGATTTTCTGTGAAAGCCCCTAACCTATCTGTTAGCTTCTATTCTTGCTCCTCTGACTATCCAAACACAGTCACTAGTGATCTTTTAAGAATATGTTACCAGATTTTATTTTTTCTCCACTCAGAGTCTGGCCATGACTCCTCATGTTACTCACTGTTTAAAGCATCTATATATTTTGGACTTCTGTGACATGTTGTTTACCTACTGTTCCTCATTTGATTTCAGCCAAGTTAGCTTCCTCACTATGAGTGCACTAAATCCTTTTGCCTAAGGGCTTTTGCTCCAGCTGTTTCCTTGACCTGGAATGGTTCTCCCCCATCCGCCACCACAATGATAACACATCCTACAAGTGTTAGTTAAGTTTCTTTTCTCAAGGATCCCTACCCTGAACACTGTTAAATCTGCAGCTGCTTCCTTGCTGAGCTTCCACACTCCCCATCCTACTTACCTGTACCACTTGTTTATTGTTGCTGGCTTTTGTTTGTTTGTTCATTTGTTTTTAGTACTGGAGTTTGAACTCAGGGCTTCTTGCTTGCTAAGCAGTTGTTCTATCACTTGAGCCACACTTCCAAACCTTTGTTTATTATTTATAGTCCACCTCTCCATCCTCTGCTAGGATATAAACCCTAAGAGGTTGGGAATCTTTTCTGTCTTATTCACTGGTATGTCAAAAGAGTCTGACCCATGATAGGTGCTATTTGTTGAATTGAATTGAGAAATTGAACCCAGTAATCTATCACTTAGCTGGTCTGTGTCTTGGTTTCTGAATCTATTAGGTGGATATATCTGTCCCCCTTCCCATCTAATGCATTTGTCAAGAGAAATACAATCAGCAAATAGCAGGTACCGAGGGTGTGGCAGCTTCTGAATGCAGTGCCATACAGATGGGGGGTGGTATTACTGAGCTTTCCCTTGTCTTTCTCTCCGCCCATATCCTATATATCACATTTCTTCAAATTTTTATGACATTTCTGAGTGTGGCCTCCGAAAAGGAGGATCTAATATCATAATACCTGTTTTTATAAATGTGAATATTGAGGTAAAAGTAAGTTGAATTATTGTACCCATGTCATTTAATTGGGGGGGGGCAGTAATAATAATGAGAAGGCCTGACTTGCAAGGCTAGATTCCTGTTCTTCTCAACTCAAAATTGTGTTTTAGTTAGTGATATTGAATTGTGCTTAGTGTGTGTCAGATTTGTGTATGAGGGTTAGTGGCAGCAGAGATAAGAAGCTGGACTGACTACCTCAACAAGACAGCATAAAAAAATCCCTTAGTCACCGTGCCTGGACTTTTCATTGCTGTCAGTGTTCAGCTCTGAAGTTCCATACTCTGGTTTTTGGTTATTTGCTTGCTTGGTTTGGTTATCTTGATCATTTATATGTCTGTTAATTAATGTTGGTCTTTCTTTTTTTTTTTTTTTAGTGTGGGGAAGGGAAGTACTCTCTTCCACAGATTTGTTTGTTTTTACTTCCTTGGAAATTGAAGTCATATACAACTTCAGTTGCAGACAAAGAAGCCAGTAGATTCAATTTATTGAGTATCTACTATTTTTTTCAGACTCTGTGAAAAGTGAAAGATGACGTAGGCCCTGTCCTCAAGGAGATGGCCTAACATGAGAGACATACATTTAAGCGTACATCACAGTGTGATATGTACAATAATAGAAACAGACATGCTGCATGGCACAGTAAAGGAAACAATCTGATTCAAGAGGGAGGATGGTCGTCAAGAATAAATAGATACATGTGCATACATGTATTATTATTTTAAATAACTGTCTTCATGGCAATGAGAACAAATTTACTTGTAGCTCAAATGTGCTAAGTGAAAATTCATCTGCTTGACAGAAATGAAAAGGAGAAAGCTGTGTATCTAGCCCCAGTTGCTCAGGAGGCTGGAGGGTCCCTTGGGACCAGAAATTGAAGACCAGTCTGGGCAAGAAAAGAAAAGAAACAGAAAGGGAGGATAGGGATGGGTAAATAGACTATTTTCTACCTAAAAGATACTCTGGCTTCTTGTCACCAGTAACTTAATTGCTTATTCAGCCACCTTTCTAAGAATTACTCTGTAGCTAATGAAAGTAATTTTAGTAGTATTCCTTTTCTGACAGTGTTAATTTTTTTCAGGACCCAAGTGTTACATAATATATCTTTTAAAGTCACATAGGTACAGGGCTGGGGGCACAGCCCAAGTAGTTGAGGACCTGGCTAGCAAGCATGAGGCCCCAATTTCAAACCCTTCCCCCCCACCCCAAGGTTACACAAAATGCAGGGGAATCTGTTTTGTATTGTCTGGAAGCACACTGGATATTTTTTAGTGCCTTTTAAAACTAGAGCACTGTGCGATTGAAGCCCCCAGTCCTTTTGCTTTTAGTTTGTTTTTCAGATAGGGTCTTGTGCTAACTTTGCCAGGGCTCAAATTTTGACCCTTTTATCTCTGCCTCCTGAGTGCCTTGGATTATAGATGTGCTACCACCACATCTGGTCCTCAAGTCCAAATCTTTTTTAAATGCCATTTAAACTGCCTTGTCTTCTAATGACAGACATCCTTTCTAACATCTTCTACTATGTAGTTGAATGCAGTCTGTACCCTTGTGCCCTTGCCATCCCAACCAGTTATCTTGTCCTACACCAAAAATAGACAAGGCATCTTTCACTATTTAGCCTGCTACATGTTTTACTTACTGTGTTTGTCTTCCTTCTTCTATTAAGTATAAAATTTATCAAGTAGACAGTGATTTTTTTCGGTTATGTTTACTTCTGCTTCTCTAACTTCTTAGAGCAGCATCTTACATATCGTAGGCACTTGGTAAATTTGCATGCATGAATGAATTTTTAAAACTGACCTACCTTTCTGTAAGTATACCAGGATTAATATTCAATGCTTCCTTCATGCCAGGCACTATGTTTCTCTTGCTGTTTTTTTTTTAAATCTCTATTTCTGACATTTAGAAAATATAGAGTATTTAAGTTTGTTCAAGGCATGAAGACATGGTGGTTAATTAGATAGGTATCTGGGAGTAAGTTGTTTATGACTTGCTTTTCTTTCTGATAGCCTTCAACAAGGATATGATGTAATCTATATACTTAGAAATTATATTCTGGATAATATTTATCTTTTGGTGAAGAATAAGAAGCCATTGTCTTTCCTCAATAGCTGCTCTCTAAACACAGATCTCTATGCAGCTAAACCCATTAGTTTTCCTTATGTCCTGTGTTCATAAATACTGATTTACCAAGTCTTATCAGGAAAAAAAGAAAAACATTTTTTCTTTTTTTTAAGTTGTTAATTTTTTTCACCAAGTCTTATCAGGAAAAAAGAAAAACATTTTTTTTCTTTTTTTAAGTTGTTAATTTTTTTCACTATGGAAATTTATTTCAAGTTGCAATTCAGTGCTTGGAGACAGTTTTTAAGATCACCCCAGAAGATACACACCTAGCAGTTTCTCAGCCTTTGACGGAAATGTTCACCAACTCCCTCTGTAAGGTACGTTGTCATTTTTTCATTAGTGTCTGATGTAAGTATAATGACAATTTTATGTTGGATTCTTAATAGTTGAGAGTCCAAGTCTACAAGTAATTAATTTCTTCCTGGGTGTATGAGAAATGGTTTATGGATCTGTAACTTAGAATCTGAAATAGAACTCATTTATGTGCTTTATGTTTTCATATTAGTAGCCATTCTCACCTTCCCACCTTCTTTTGTATTTAATGATCTATCTGTATTGACTTTTAAGTCCTTTACACTATGAGCATTTTTAGATTTCTAAACCATGGACACAAGTTAACAACAAAAGCTTAATGTCTAGAAAGTAATCATGCAGAAATAGATTCATCTGGAATTGAATCATCATTTCTGAAGCAGATTTCATCAAATTTGGTCATTAGTGGGGCTTAGTAAAACAGAAGGGTTCAGAGTCAGTGTGAAAAACTAAAACTGAAACCCAATTTTTCTGATCCCAGCTTCCAAGTGCCTAGCATGTGCTGGGCCCTGAGCTAGATCCCCAGCACTGCCCAAAACAACAAAAAAAACCAGGTCTGAAAAAATTTAAGGTTAGTGGCTGTAAGACCCCGGGATGGCCTCCAACATGTTTTTTCATTACATTTTGGTGCTTCGTGAAATCTTATAGTTATTCTAGGTCTATATTTGAGCTTTAGAACATAATGAAAAATTCAAAAGTGATATTGACACGTGAAATATAAACTTCAGCTTAGAAGGGACATTGTTGATAGTACTATATTTATATATTTACCTAGATTCTTCAGGCTCTGTTTCTAAGACGTTTTGGGAAGAGGTTTGTAGAGTAGTTGCAGTGAACATGGTAATTTGGCAATAAACTACTCCTTCCTTTAATACTTGGGAAAAGAATAATGCAGTTATGCATTAGGTCAGCAAATGGATGAATTCTAATTCTGTGATGAGATATCAGGAGATATTGGCATGTCTTTCTGTTTCACATTAGAGACCTCTCCTTTTTCTTCCCTTTGGTTAAGGTGGACTGTGATCTTTTCATTGTCTGGGCTGTGATCTTCTTAGAAAACTCTACTCCAGTGACTGAATATGTCTAAGACTGAAACAGACTTTCTTTATTCTCAGGTTCTTGAGACCTGGAGTTGAGACAGCACTTGGATTTGCTTAGTCTTTAGCTACTATCACCATTGACTTAGTTCTAAAGAGATAAGAATTTTTTCTTAAACTTTCACGAGTATCAATTGACTTTTACACTCTTGTTTGACTAAATCTCTTTTTTCCCTTTGTGCTGTATCTCTCTGATTACATTTAATTGTAAGAAACTGATTGTGTACTATTTTTAAAATATAGTTGATTGAAACTGACTCCCTAGTACATCTGCAATAGTGTTATTTACAGTGTCATCATCCTTCACTAGTCCTATCAGACAGCTGTGACTTTATTCCATATGTGTTTGTTAACAGAGGATGGCAGAATAAGTCTAGAAGTTGTCTCACCTAGTGTCCTTAAATGCTGTTTTGGTCATTTTAGTTTTAGTTTATTGCTTTTCTGTCCTCTGTCCCCTAAATAAATTTATGCATATGCTAAATGGACTCATTCCCTTTATTCAAAGTATGTAACAGTTGCCTCCACATTGTGAATGGCTCAAATTTATTCAGTGAATGTGAGAAATGTTTTTCAAAATATAAAACTGTGGCAATTTCATTAAAATAGTTAAGAATTTAGAAGAATAATTTATCTTCCATTTTTCAATATGACTTCCTTTATTCTCAGGAAAAATGGTCATTATTTAATGACCCAAAATACTTACATTTTTAAAATTTATAAACTGTTGGCTTGTTGGGAGATTTACAAGGAAACCCTAAAAGCAAGTACTGTAGGTCAGTAATTTGTCTTTGAACCTGAGTATTAAGGAAGGACTTCTACTTATGAAAGTTCCATTTGTGTCTGTACTTTTTTTATTCCAGTATTTAGTGCTTAGGAAAACTGATAGGTAGAGAACAGCTTAAAAAAATAAGGCAAGATCTATATTCTTTGTCAGTGATTCTGCTCTTGTGAATATTTGTACCTAATTTGTAAAGTGTATTTCCAATTTAGATCTATCAATTTTATTGAAATTTTAGTGGAGACAAAGGTAATGGTAGATATATTTTAAATCTAATACATGGGGATAATAGCTACAAATTATGCTTTTTTTTCTAAATCATAGACTTATTTTGGCCTTTTGAGCCAAGTTAAAAAGCAATGCAAATTTTTAAATGTCTTCTAAAAATGGAAAAATACATTGTGTTCCCAGTGCTGTAGGCACCTTTGGTTTAAACCTTATTAATGCAAAAGTGGTTTCAGGATGATAGCAGGTGCCAAAACAAAAGTTTTATCCTGTTTTTCATCTTATAATGAAATTAATATGTACTCATTATTTTCAAAAATTGTACAATATAAAGAAGAGACTGAAAGTTTTACTCTCAAATACTACTGTTGTTAACCTTTTGGTTTATACCTTTCTAATTTTTGTTTTAAATCGCTGTGCATGTGCATTTGTGTGTACATATTTAAATAATAACCATATTATGTTTTCTTTATTGATAAACTGTGCTTTTGACTTCATAAATATTTTGCTTCAAAAGTTTCACTAATAGAAATAATACAGTGATTGTGTTTCTATTCCTATTCATTATGTACAAAGTCCATATTTTGTTCATGAAATGGAATTGCTGGGTATAGAGAAATCAAATAAAAAATTTCATTCACACTTAGTGATTCTCACCTAGAAAGACTTACAGACCAGACCCTAATAAAAGTATATGAGAGAACTTTTCCTTCATTTCTTGTTATCACTATTATGTAGGTGTTCGATTACATGAAATGGAATTACAGATCAGTTTCTAAAATGTGGGTAATTTATTGTTACTTCATTTATAGTGTTCTGGGATGACTTTTTAGGTAGCTAAACAGAAGTACATTGATTTTTATTTAATTTCAGAATGACATTCTTCCTCTTTCAAACTCAGTGCCTGAAGATGTGGGAAAAGCTGATCAATTAAAAGATGAAGGTAAATATTTCATACAGAAATCACTTATTTAGTAAGGCTTTTTGAGATAGTGATGAATTGACATGATTCTTGTTTGCACTTCTAAGACTGGATTATTAGAAGTCAACATGGCTTTTTGTGAAGGTGAAATGAGTATGATGGGTAAGAAGCCTGGAAATACAGAATGGCTTGTGGGCAGAGGAGATACGGCCTGCATCAAAGGAAGCCAATTTTTTATAAAACTTGCAGAACAGATCATTTCAGGCTGTTTATTTGTCACTGCATCTGCTACTTGTATTCTAGGATTCCACATTCTTCTTTGTGCTTAGAGAGAGGAAATTTTCAGTATTATTTCAATTTCCATATTATTATCCTTGGTAGTGATTGAAAACCAGTGAATTCCTGGTCCTATTTATAAGTAGAGAATTATTGGAGAATATACTATGTTCAGAAGCAATACATAGAACTATTTTTTGATGTAAATCATTTGATGTTTTAAAAGGTAGATATGGAAAAGAGTATGCTTTTCTTGTTGCTGGGGCCTGGTCATGTTCTCAAATATACACCTATATCAGTGTTTTTAGTGGCTGTGTAGTGTTACGTGGTACTGTTACTTGCTACCATGAGTTTCCTAAAACAGATAAGTTTATAATCCTAAGCAACACTGTCTTTGTTTTGTTTGTTCTGTTTTTGAGAGAGAACCATAATTCCATCAAAAAAAAAAAAAAAAAAAAAGGTGTTTTTGAGACAAAGTTTCACTATGTAACCCAGGCTGGCCTAGAATTCACCATGGTCCTGCTTTAGCCTCCTGAGTACCAGGATTACAGACATACATCACCATTCCTAGTCTTTGTTTCCTTGCACAACTTGGTGACTGTCTTTTAAGGTGATGTGTTTCCAACAAAAAGATTTGTCTTAGTTTTCAATTTATTATTTCTTCTAAAAAGCAATCGCCATAGTTCCTTAAGTCTGAGAATAATATGGCTTCCTAAATTATATGCAAAATAAAGCAACAACATGATCCTCATTATCAGTTGAGTTGGAATATTCCCTAAAGAGTTTGGATTTAAACTATGAGATACAAGTGCTTTTTTCATGAATTAATTTCCTGTTGGAGCAGTTTAATATGATGAGTTTCCTTTTTCCATTCAGGTTTTTGTAGTGTGTGAAATCTTTAGTGATGCAGTATATTTTTTACTATTATATGTATTTTGCTTTTGCCATTAAACTTCTAATAATATTGTGGAATTAGCGGAAAATTAAATTTTTATTTATTTTTCTTATGGTACTGGGGTTTGAACTCAGGGCCTACACCTTGAACCACTCCACCAGCCCTTTTTTCTGGTAGGTTTTTTTGAGATCGTGTCCTCTGAACTATTTGCCCAGGCTGGCTTTGAATCGCGATCCTCCTGATCTCTGCCTCCTGAGTAGCTAGGATTACAGGCATGAGCCACTGGTGCCTGGCTAAATTTTTATTTTTATCTCTCATGCTACTCCTTGCATGGAAGAATGTTGGGAGATTGCATTTCCCATGGAGTATTTTTTTTTTCCATTATGAATGTCAGTAAGGTGAGGGTTAGGGGAAAGTGTACGGGTGTAGGGTGAAACCTTAGCAAGGATGGATTTAACGTATGTACTTACTTTTCCTCTATCTAACCAAAAGTAAATAAAAGTTTTCCTTTTTGACTTCACTAAGACATGTTATGTCTCAGGGATTGTCATTTTATCTAGATTTTGCTTTTTTTTGGTCCATGCTGAGGTTTGAACCCAGAGTCTTGTGCCTCCTATGAAGGCACTCTTACCACTTGAGCCATGCCCCAGCCCTAGGTTTTGCTGTTAGTGTGAAGACAAATGACAAGCATAGGGTATTCCAGCCTGTGAGTGGTGTTAACCTGACTGTGTTACTCAAGGCTTCTAGCCAGTTAGTACCTTCCTAGAACATTGCTTTCCAACACTTTATGTTCTTTGCTTCTGAAGAGCTGCATAAGACTGGAAGAAATCAGGAAGGCTTCCTTGCTGTTATCCCTTTATCTCCTGTGGCTATGAGAATTAAAGGAGACAACTTTCATGGGAGACTATCTGTAACTGTAAAGTACTATACAAATGCTTTGTGGCTGTACTTATGTTCTTCACAGATTTTATTTATTTCTTGACTTTTTATATATTGACTATTATTTTGGGACTTGAAGCTTTGTAATCATTAACTTACATTAAGAATAAATAAATAAATAAATAAATATATATATAGTATGTCTATATGCCTTATTGTATGTACACATTTTAAGGTAGTTTCCAGGAAAAGACAATAAAATTTTAATAGTTATAATAATAATAATAATAATAATAATAATTAAGTGTTATCACCAGACAAAAAGGCCTAACAGCAACAACAAATAGCCAGGATAATATAGTTAACTTTTTGCCTAAGTATAAAATATTATGTTATCCTCTCAGCTTCTTTAGAAGACCTTATATTCATGTCTCTCTTTGGGAAGAAGATTCAAATTATTTTTTTTAGTATTAAAAACAGATTTCTTGAAATACAGTTCACATATCATAACCTTTATTCCTTCACTCTGTATAAGTTATTGTTTTGTTATGTATTCACAGAGTTGTACAGTCATCACCAAAATCAATAGGATGTTTTTCTCATTCTTAAAGGAAACCATGGGTCCATTGCCTTTTACTCTTTAATGTTCATTTCCGATCCCTATGATTTGGGGTGCTTTATCTACCTGCCTTTCATTTAATTGTCCTGTTCCTATTACCTGCAAGTTTACACCCACCTCCTCCCATTCAGTACCTAATGATCTATTAAGAACAGAAAGCTTAAGGGGCTGGTGGAGTGGCTCAAGTGGTAAGGCACCTGCCCAGCAAGCATGGGACCCCAAGTTCAAATACCAGCCTTGCCAAAAACAAAACAAAACAAAAAAAACCCAGAAAGCTTAAAGGAATCATAGAGACCTCTGAGATATAAGTCCTTCCTCCTAATCCCACTTGTCCTAATAGTTTCAATTTTAAGCATTGGTTCTTGCAAATGCACAGAACATTTGCCCTATACCATTTGATAGAATAGAGGTGAAGTCACAGGAAATCCCTTATTTTGCTGACCAGTTGTTAACTGAGCTAAATTATTGCCAGATGTATTTGCAGATACATTCCTGAAAATCAGTACTCTCAAGGCTAGCCACAGTATCTGAAATCCTGTCTTTCTAGAATTAATCTACTAAAATTCCCCTTTAAAAAGATCCTATCTCTGGAAAGGATAGCACATGAAAATACTATCTGCCAATAACATATTAGCTTGATTAGTTTCACCAGTTACCCACAATGGCCTTCCGAGAGACAGTCTGCTGTTCAGCATGTGGGTCTTTTGACAGGGAGGGAGTGCAAGATCAGGGCCCAATTAGATGCTGATTATGGAGGAACAGGGTACGGCTGCTGTATAAGGGAGCATAGAGAAGGAGATGAGGAAGAAGTGGGGAAGAGATTATTTGCAATGAGATAGTCATTTACTCACATCAGGCTGGATTTTAAAAGGTATACAAACATTAATTTCTAAGACACCACATTGTTAAAACAATTCAAACACACTGAAGCTAAGGAACATCAACTCTATAGACAATATAAAATTTATCTCTAGTGTGACGGAAAAATATTGTGGCTGGTCTTCATGCTGTTGTAGTTTTTATAATTAAAATATATCTCCCAGCAGGCCTCATATTTTTTCTTGTATGTTGTACTTAGTGTGTGATATTTTATTTTAGGCAATAACCACATGAAAGAAGAAAATTACACTGCTGCGGTGGATTGTTATACACAGGCAATAGAACTGGATCCCAATAATGCAGTTTATTATTGCAACAGGTAAACTGGCACTATTGTCACAGGTTTTCAATTCTTAAACACCAGATTAGTTCTATTGCTATCTTTTTATTTCTTTTCGTATTTCCAGCATCCATTACTGTGGCTGGCAAACAAGTATTCAGGAAATGTTATTTTTGAGTGAGTAGATAGATGTACCTTAATTTACTCAACTGTGGACCTACTGTGGACACTGAGGTTCTTTCCATATTTTTCCATATCATCAAGGTGCAGTGAACATCTCTGTTTCTAACTATTTTTTCCTGCTTCAGATTTTCTAGACTTTGGTGGTACTGGGTTTTGAACTTGGCTTCTCTCTTGCTAGGAAGTCACTCTGTCACTTGAACCATGCCTCCAACTCTAGGACTTTGGATTTATTCCTGAGAATTTGTTTAGTTGGTCTACAGTTATGAACATTTTAAAAAAATTGAGGCTAATTGCCAAACTGTTCCAACTTCTTTGAAAATCAGTTCTCTCCGCTAAGAATGTATGAGTAGACCTACTTTTACATGTTCTTTTTCAGCACTAGGTACTCAAATAATTATTATTAGTTTGGTATTTCCATACTCATTATCCTAAGTTATCTAAAGAAGTTGGACGTTTTTCAAATGTTGGCTATTTGTGTTTTTTCCTCCTAAATTTTCTATTTATACTGTCTATTGATTGAATGTTTGTGTTCCACCCAAAATTCATATGTTGAAATCTAACTCCTAACATGATAGTATTTGGAGGTGTGACCTCTGAGAGGTGATAGAGTCAGAAGGATGGGGCTCTTGTGAATGGGATTAATGCCCTTGTAAAAGAGACTGCAGAGAGCATTCTCCTCTCCTGCCATTTGATGACACAGTAGGAAGAGTACCTGTACCAGGCTAGGCATTATGGCACTCTCCCAACTATTTGGGAGGCAGAGATCAGTATAGTTAACTACTAGCCACAGTGGTCATCAAATACTTGAAATATTGGGAAATGCATTTTAATGTGTAAGCTGATTTAAATTTTTTTTTTTTTTTTTTTTTTCCGGAGCTATGGTCTCACTATGTAGCCCAGGCTGGCCTTGAACTCCTGATCCTTCTATTTTAGCTTCCTTCCTGCTGGGATTACCATGCTCTGCTAATTTAAATTTAAATAGCCACATCTGACTTGTGGCTCCTATGTTAGACACAGTAGCCTTATATTAAAGATATAATTCATTTGTTTTTGTTGCCCAGCCTGTCTTTTAACATTTTTTTCATATATAAAAGTTTAAAATATTTATGGAGTCAAATTTTTTTCTTTTGAATTTTATTGCAGTGCCTTTAGGCTTAGAGCTTTTCCCTTTCAGTCTTGACAAATGGCTTCTATTTTCCTATTTTTCCATTATGTTAAAATTTTAAAATGTCAAATCTAGTTTGGTGATTGGTATGACTATTTTAACTCATTTGAAACTTTTTATTACAGCCTTATAAAAATTACCTTTTAGGGCTGGCAGCATGGCTCAAGTGGTAGAATACCTGCCTACTAAGAACAAGGTCCTGAATTTAAACCCTAGTGCTGCCAAAAAAAAAATAATAAAATAAAAATAAATAAATGAAAATTACCTTTTATTTTGCAGTAGGTTCTTTTTTTTGGAGCAGGGGATGTATGGCTCTTGAACTTAGGCCACACCACTTGAGCCACTCCTCCAGCCCTGCAGTAGGTTTTTAGATTTGAAAGAGATCTAAATTTATGTGTTCCAACCTTTCATTGAATTACTACTGCCATACTTAAGGTGTTTACACCCTGCTTTTTCTTTTGTGGCTGTATTTGTTAGAAATGCCTTCTTATATTGATACTGAGTGAGTTTTTTTGTAGCATCTATCAGTTGACTTTAATTCTTAAAAGCAATTACAGAATAAATATGATTTTGCTTTTTATGACAGTACCTTACATTTTGATGTTTTCTTACCACATTCATTTGAGTTCTTTTTTCATGTTAAATGTTTCTTCCATCGTACTTTGGAGAGTACAGCATTAAGTCCTGCACTGGGAACTTGTCCTGTTCACAGAGTCTGTGAAAGTATAGTTTATAGGGGTTTACATGGTGTACCTGCCATCCATCTCACCAGACTAATAGTCTTATGAGGCTCTCGTTTGACCCACTTCTATATACATAATTATATATCAAGATATTCTAGCATTATTTGTTGAACTCATATTTTGCTTTTGATTAATTAAAGCCTTTTTAATGTAATTGTCATCAGTAGTAAGTTCTTAGTCATTGAGTTTTTTGCATGTTAAAAAAGTAAGAAAGAAGAAATTGCAGTTTTCCCTAGAGACTCCTTGATTGGTGAGCTCTCTGCATGATGTGTTATCTCATTTTCCCTCTGGGTAGTCAATTTTGAGTATTTGGCTTTAATTTGCAGAAGCTGTGCACATAAGTAAAAAACAGATTATTTTAGGGGGAGAGGTGTGTGTAGAATTATTGTTTGTGTCATTTCTTAAGCAGTTTTGCCTTTAGTGCTTTAGAGAAGCTAGCATTCTTTACACAAAAGGTTGATGATTTCCTCCCCCAAATACTAAGGAAATTATTTCTATTGAATAACTTTTTCTTTCCTTTTTTAAAACTTAAGTTAATTTTTAAAGTTTTATTAGAATGTAATTGTTGTACATGGGGATACATTGTGATATTTACGTATTGCTCATAATATATCTTAGATTTCCCCACTCCATAATTCTCCGTCTTCCCCTTTCACTCCTTTCTTAGAACAATTTCAACAGATTTCATTCTTCTGTTTTTGTATATGCATACAAAATACGTCAACCATACTCACCCTCATTCCTCTTTCCTTATTCCCACCCACTTCCCACTGGTACCCACCCCCAGAAAAGACTTACTTTACCCTCCTGCCCTTGGTTTGTTTTTTTTAAGTGTATATTAATAGTCCAAGGGGCTTTTGCCTTGGTACTTCAGGCCTATTTATACCATGCTTTAATCAGATTAACCTCCCCATTACTTATTCATTCTCTATTACCATGTTCCCCTAATACTCACTTATTGAATAAATTTTTATGTCATCTTATAATAAAAGCTGAAAAATCCCTTTGAAAATGCTTTTCTATATGATAACATTTTGAAGAAATCATGTAAGATGATAAAGTATTTGAATGGTATAGTAGATTTAAAAAATTCTATTTAAAGAAACATTTGTTTTTACATTAAATGTTCATTTGAAATCGTATGATTTCCTACATGAAGTCAATAATAGAAACAAGCCTTTTTCACACCTTCTTCCTATTCCTATCATTCTACTGACAGGTTCTTAACAAGTACATAGTAGTGCTGTCACTGGAGCTAGAGTTGATTGGACTCTAATGCAGGATCTTCTATTTTACAAGTGTAGGATTGGGTATTGTTACGTTCTCCTATTTATCTCCGGGAAACTTTTTAGGGGCAATTCATCTGTAATGTATTTTTTCTTGCTCCCAGGTTCATGTCATCCACAAACTTGAGAATATCATTGTATAACTGATTCTTTACATGTGTCAGTTGCAAGTCAACTAATGGAATGATTATGTAGGGAAGTAATTAAGAGCAGAATTCTGCGCTGGTGGAGTGGCTCAAGTGGTAGAATGCTACCTAGCAAGTTTGAGGCCCTCAGTTCAAACTCCATTACCACCAATGGAGTCTGATCCTGGACTCTGTATTGTAATTTCTGGCCCTGTCACTTCCTACTTAATGTGACCTTTGGCAAATTACCTAACCTATCTGTGCCTTAGTTTCTCTATCTGAAAAATACGGATGGTAATAGTATTCAACTCATAGGGGTGTTGTGGAGATCAAATAGTTAATTCATGTATCGTTCTAGGAGAGTATATCTAATAAAGAGTGTTATACCCAAGTAATAGCTATTAGCATAATTATTTATGTGGCCTATTTTCGGCCTTAATCAGAATATGAAGAGAGAGCTACATTTTTTCAGGCTCATATATGTAGCAATTACCTATTTCTGATTACCAGTCCATACTAACCCCGTTAAAACAGAAAGGAAATGATGTTTGTATGCTAGTTCAAAAAAGTTGAACTTTTTCTGAAAGTGCCTTTTTAAAAAAAAAAAAAAATCTTCAACATTTTCAAAACTGAAGGAATTTTATATTGGGTATATAATCAGATACTCACACATAGACTTTGTCATTAATGTTTTAGGATATTTTCTATACTAAATCACGTATTTATATGTGTGGTGCCTCTATCCACTCATTATTCCATCTTACTTTTGAAGGATTTCAAAACAATTTGCAGCCATCAGGTCACTTCTTCCCTGCATGTATAGTATACATATTGTTCACCAGAGTTCAGTGTTTGTTTACCTTTATTTTTTTGAGGTAAAATTTGCAAGTAACAGAATACATAAATTTTAATGTACTTTTGCTGAGTTTTGACAATTACATATACTTTTGTAACCTAAGTCCCTGTCAGGATACTGAAAATTACCATCATATGTTCAGGAAGTTCCTTATGATCCTTCACAGTCAGCTGCCTATGACACTCACCAGTTGTAGTTTTTTTTTTTTTTGCTTTGCCTTCTCCACCATATATTTGTCTCTTCTAGATTTCATATGAAAGAAATCACATGTACTTTTCTATGTAAGACTTGTTTTTGAGAGTCAACCACATAGTTGCATGAATTAGTAGCTTATTTTTTTATTGTTCATAATACTCTATTGTTTGTATGTATTACAATTACCTGGCTATTTTCCTGTTGATGGTCACTGGGGCTGCCTCTCTTTTGTTCAGAATTTATAGTTTATTTGGGGAAGAGTTGGATCTGTAAAGAATTTAGGTGGCCATACTGGAAGGTGGAAGCCTTCATTTTCTTTCTTCACACACACACAAAAATTCCTTTATTAGTAAGTTCTAACAGTGTAGCCCAGAAAAATAGAAAAATCCAAATAAATTGGGGGAATGACTTTGATGTTTTAATTACATTCTTTGTAATCAGATGAGTATACATAATGTTTTAATTTAGTGCATAAAAAAACTTGAA